ATTTGCATCTAGAAGCTAACAACTAGACTTGACCACACAGCAAGACACACTTTTCAAAATCCTAGACACCTGGAAGGCTGAGGCAGGAACCCAAGTTTGAGACTAGCCTGGGCAACTTAATAAGAGCCTGTCTCAAAGTGACATCTAAAAGGGGCTGGGGATGTACAGTGTTAGAGCACTTGCCTAGCATATGCTAGGTTTGATTCCTCAGCAGTACAAGTACAGTAATAAAATATATACTACCCTATGGCCCAGCAATTGCATTCCTAAGTATAAACTCACAAGAATGGCAAACACAATTCAAATATTTATTTACTTATTTATTTATTTACTTTGCAGAATCAGAGATTGAAATCAGGCCCTTGCGCTTGCCAGGGAAGCGCCTGATCCACTGAGCCAACTCCCCGGCCCCAGAATTCACATATTAAATTCCTAAGTGCTCACAAACTATATTGTCAAGTTTCCATCTCATTATATATCAGACTGTGCTACTCTTTCCCTTTCTTTCTAGTCTTGTTCCTCAACTCCATCAAAGAAGGACAGACCACATCCTCAAATTCTACATCCCTATAGTGCTAGAACTGTGATGGATACAAAGCAGCAAGTCTAAGGTGATTTCATTAACTTTGGATTTAAATTAGAGGAATGGAAATATAGCTGGGTGGTGCAGCACCTGCAGGCAAGCACAAGGCCCTGAGTCAATTCCTCCTACAAAAACAAAAAAGCAAACAAAACAAAACAAAACAAAAAACACAAAAACATTACAATTGAAAGCCTTAAAATAATTTCAATACTGTGGGCTGGGGGAGATAGCTCAGCAAGCTAAGCGCCTGCCTGGCAAGAACAAGGACCTGGAAACTGGGCGTGGTGGCACACACCTGTAATCCCTGCAGTGGGGAGGCTAAGACAGGAGGATCACTAGGAGTCCGAGCTTCCATAGTGAGACACTGTACCAAATAAACAAAATATTTTTTTAAATAATTTCAATACTGTATAATCAACCAATTCGGACAAGTACATTCCCTCCTTTTTAAATACAGTTCTGCAGCAATCTGACCTTTGTTATGATACACCGTTTGGCTCCTGCTATGGTTGGGGTCTAGCTGTCCTCGCAAAGCCTAATGTGGTCATAGGCAGGCTTTCTCAGAGGTGGTTGGTCTAGAGTATGTGACTGATTCATGCTGCAAGTGCTAGGACTTTTCTTTGGTATTAGGAATCAAACTCATAACCCTGCGCTTGCCAGGCAGGCACTGTGTCACTGAGCTGCATCCCTGGCTCAATGCGGGGATTTAAGTGTGGGTGATTAGTAAATCAGTCCACTAGTTGGCTTGGCACCACCCTAATCCCGGTTGTCTGGATACATACAAAGGACAGGAGGAGAGCTGTCTTGTCAGGTCCCTCGCTTGCTTCCTTTGCTACCTTCTGCCTGCTGTCAATTGTTTCGTCCTCCGTGGGCCCCTCTGCCGTGCCACCCTGCCTGGGAGCCAGCCCATTATGGAGCGAAACCTGTTCGGACTCTGAGCCAAAAAAGCCCTTCCCGCCCTTCACTTGTAGGTGCTAGCTATTTTGATTCAGCAATGAAAAAAGTAACACAGCCCCTTTTTTGCTCAAAAAATGACCCAGACAGAAAAATGCCAAGATACCAAAACGCTGTGGAAATAACGCAATGACTAACAGTACGCTAAAGACTTGACAAGCTGCTTCCTTGGAGAAAATGGCCTTTTCTAAATTCATTAAAAATGGTTTCAAAACAGTTGAAGAGAATCAAAGCACATGTACCTAAAGATGCAGAAGCTCTGAATAGTCCTATGATTTTGTTTTCTTGACAGATGTGCACTCTGCAAGCCCTGAGGTCACCAGATGCATATTAAATTAATCTGTACTTTTAGGTTTTACATAACACACCACTCTGGTTTTATAAA